ATGGTGATGGGGGAGTGAGTAACTCAGAGGACATCTTTCTTGAGAGGGGGGTCTTCCAAACTTTTCTTGGACACTTCCAGTCTAGGGCACACAGTGCCTCTGGAATTAGGGAAGCTCTCTCTTGTAGAAAATGACCTGATTCTGGGGAAACTACCCTCACTAGAAGCCAAAATTCATCTTCTTATGACCGTCCCATGCAAACCTGATGATCTCCAAACATCTGCCTGCAAGTCTGCATTTTGCACAGAGCTGGGGTGCTCCAATAAATAGCTGCAGCCCACTGCCTACCATGGGTCCCCCAACACCCACATCTGCAGCTCATTGCATGCCTGGGTGCATGCCCCTACCTCTCGTCAGCACTGCAGTGGACAGCTGTGAAGGGCTAGGTGAGCAGATGGTCTCATTTGTATTCTGAGTGGCTAGACTGAGCCATGGCTTTCTCGATGAGAACCCCATCCTCTCCCCCAGCTCCATCTTTCGAAACTTCTTCAAGCAGCATCAATAATGGGAATCGATTGATCAATGAGCATCCTGGCCTTGAAGCCCACAGCCCCTGTGGAGCTTCACTGCATCCCTAAGCACTTCAGCTCCCTGGCTACTTCATCCCCCATGCCCCATGCATCACTTCTAGGGATCTGGCCCTGCCTTCCCATCTGCCACCATCCCAAGAGACCAAGCCCCAGGACAGCTTTGATTTGAGTGAGCAAGGAGTGTAGCCTGGTACTAGAGGAAGCCCTGGGGCAGGGGACCAAGGTCTGATTCTGAGTTCAGAATTGCTTGAATCTTATCAGGCACCATGCAGAGTAGGGGAAGGAGTGCCATACCTTCAGGGTATGGGAACTGACTCCTTTATCCCAACCTCCAAATACTGACTACTCAATATCTACCTCTTAGCACTTTCTAGCCAAGTGACTATTTCAAGCAGTACTGACCACCTATCAACCCAGCTCCAACCTCCCAATGCTGATGGCCCATGCTCAACCATCAAATGTCAACCATCCATCACTGACCAGCCACCCCTGATAGCCAGCCCAACATCAATGTGCTAATATATCTTCTCAACACTCACTCATCACCCATCACCAACATCTCTTCCTCAACATCCAGATCTCCCCAACTGACCGCCCCAAATTAACCACCCGAATCCACTCCTCATTGGCTATCTAAGATTCTACCCAATAAGAACCACCAGGCCCCCATCACTGGCT